GGCTGAGGCTGAGGCTGGCTGAGGCTGAGGCCGAGGCTGAAGGCAGACTGAGGCTGAGGCTGAAGCAGGCTGAGGCTGAGGCCGAGACAGGCTGATGCTGAGGCTGAGGCAGGCTGATGCTGAGGAAAAGGTGAGGCTGAGGCTGAGGCAGGCTGAGGCTGAGGCTGAGGCAGGCTGAGGCTGAGGCTGAGGCAGGCTGATGCGGAGGCAGGCTGAGGCTGAGGCTGAGGCTGAGGCTGAGGCTGATGCAGGCTGAGGCTGAGGCAGGCTGAGGCTGAGGCCGAGGCTGAAGACAGGCTGTGGCTGAGGCTGAGGCTGAAGCAGGCTGAGGCTGAGGCTGAGGCAGGCTGAGGCTGAGGCTGAGGCAGGCTGATACTGAGGCAGGCTGAGGCTGAGGCTGTGACTGTGACTGCCGTTGCCACTGCGACTGTCATCGCGAATGCGACTGCGACTGCGAGAACAGGAGAATTCTACAACTGGATTCTCATCTGGATCTTAAGGGGAATGTTTCCATATATGCTTCTACACATCGCTGTTAGGTTGCTTTGCCGGGATAATTTTTTATTAATCGTCATCCCGCATTAGGGTGGGTGGATATCATGGCGGGGGCCATGACACCTCCCCAGATCTCATGGCGCCTCCTCTTACTTCATTGGCAGAAATGGTACAGAAATGGCAGAAATGGTGAGTCTCGGAGCTGGTGGATGTCGGGGGCGGCGAAGAGGGGGTTGATGACTAATCAGAGGCCAGCAACATGTGTACACGTACGCGGTTAGCTTCCCCTGGAGTGCGTGTCAACGCGGACGTTCGTGCAGGCAAGATCGCGGAGGGCGTACATGTACATATGTCGTTGCTCGCCCAACTAATGGAGGATGACGATTAATAAATGACCGGGGGTCGCGTTCACGCGGCGGCGCCCGGGATGACGATCAGAAAAAACCGGCCGCGGGCTGGAAAACTGTTTTCTGTAATCCGCCAGTGAGAAAATTGAGCAGCAATGACAGAAAATTCTTTACGCTTCGCGTATCCCCACCAGCCCATCTCACAGCAGCAACTCTTGCGAAGCATGCCGACAGTCGTGTTTTTCAGGCGTGCGTCCGCTTGGGCCCGCATATCTCCCCTGTTCCTCCTTCCTCCCGCCTCCTTGTACATCCTCCTTGTGGGGGGAGCGGGAGAAGGACGAGGCGGAGGAGGAGGGAGAGAAAGCGCTCCTCGTGATTTGAGTCGTTTGGGGTTTCTCGTCCTGGTGTGAGTCGTTCGGGCCCTTCTTCCTGGTGTGAGTCGTTCGGGCTCTTCGTGGTGTGAGTCGTTCGGGCTCTTCGTCCTGGTGTGAGTCGTTCGGGCTTCTCGTGGTGTGTGTTGTTCGGGCCCCTCATCCTGGTGTGAGTCGTTCGGGCCCCTCCTCCTGGGGTGACTCGTTCGGGCTCCTCGTGGTGTGAGTCGTTCGGGGCCCGCGTCGTGGTGTGAGTCGTTCGGGCTCCTCGTGGTGTGAGTCGTTCGGGCGCCTCGTCCTGGTGTGAGTCGTTCGGGCCCCTCCGTGTGGTGTGAGTCGTTCGGGCTCTTCGTGGTGTGAGTCGTTCGGGCCCCTCGTCCTGATGTGAGTCGTTCGTTCGGGCTCTTTATTTTCTTTTTGTCTTCCTTTTTTTTCTTATTGGTGTTGTGTGAGTCGTTCGGGCTCTTCGTGGTGTGAGTCGTTCGGGCCCCTCGTCCTGGTGTGAGTCGTTCGGGCTCCTCGTGGGGCCTCTTGGGGGCCTCTTGGAGCCTCTTGGGGCCTCTTGGGGGCCTCTTGGGGGCCTCTTGGGGGCCTCTTGGGGGCCTCTTGGGGCCTCTTGGGGCCTCTTGGGGGACTCTTGGGGGCCTCTTGGGGGCCTCTTGTGGCCGCTTGGGGGCCTCTGGGGGGTCTCTTGGAGGCCTCTTGGGAGCCTCCTGGGGGCCTCTTGGGGCCATCTTGGGGCCTCTTGCGACCTCCTCAGAAGCGCAAAGAAGAGCTACCCCCTGAGAAGGACAAAATGAAGGCTCCATGGTACAATAAATCAATGATTTTGCCTTACAGGACATCTCATATGAAGGAAGGGGAGCGTCTGCCCTTTAGAAAAAGGGGGGAAAAAAAAAAACAAAAACCACCCCCACCCCAACAAAACAAAAAAAAAAAAAAAAAAAAAAAACAAAAAAGGCCAAAATGGGGCCGAAACCGTAGTAAAATCAATGATTGTGGCTTCAAAGAAGAGGAGAGGGTTTTTTCTCCGGCCCCCCGTCGGGGCCAGAATCCTCGTGAGGGTCGTCGTTTTTTAGCCCTCCCAGGAGTCGAAATTGACCCCCCTGACGACCCGCGGGGCGCCCTCTCCAGGCCCAGGGGGAGGGGGTAGGGGGAGGGGTAAACCCCTCCCCGAAGGGGAAGAAGGGGGGTTGAGGACAGAGGGGGCTCGCTAAACCACTCACGCCCAAAGGGCTGGTGGGACTATTTTTTTAATCGTTCCCCCCTCATTTTTTATCAATCGTCATCCCGCATCAGGGGGGGTGGGATCTCATGGCGCCTCCTCTTACTTCATTGCGTCCCCGGCCCCCCCGTGCTGGGCCGCACACGTGCCGCCGGCCACGATTGGCCCCCCCCCCCCCTCTTGGACATCCCCCTCTTGGCCGCTCCCGATGATGCACCCAGGACGGTTTTTTTGGTGGGGGCCAGGGCAAGGCTGGGCGCCTGCTCCTGGCGGGGAGATCCAGCGTGCTCGACGTTCGAGGGCGGCGGCTGCGCCGACGCCTGCGAGCGCGGCGCCGGCCTTGCGAGATGCGATTCCCGTCGGACACGTCGGCCGGAAGTTCGGGGGGCCGAAACAGTGGCGCCGACGGAGGGATGGTGGTCGTTTTTTGTTCGTCGTTTCGCCGATCGGCGCGGGCCCTCGCACCCCCCCCTCCCCCCCCGGAGTAGATCTTGGCTGTTTTTGGCGCCTGTTTCGAGCAGGTGGAGCTTCCCCCATAATGGACGCACTGCTGCAAATGGTCGCACTAAGCAGAGGTCCGGAGCCAGACCGAATGTCGAAACGCCGAATAAAAAACTTTCACATGTCAGGGTTCGTGGCGGAGAACGTGGGCGTACCAGGGCGTGAGTCATATTTCGCAGTGCCTCTGTGCCTCGCGCTCCCCCGCGTCGCGCTTCTCCTACGGGAATCTGAGTTTTTTTGTCACTTTGGGCTCTCTTGGCGGTCCTCTGGGAGCACTTTTGGGGCTGTCGCGGTGGCTACGTGGACTGTAACGAAGACATCTGGGACTGTCGTGATGCTACTTTCGGCCATCGCGAGTTCCACTCGGGGTGTCTCGGCGCCGTGTTCGGGTCCTGTTGGGCTTTCTTGGCGCCCTGGAGAGATTCCAGGGGCGCTGGAGATGCGTTTGTTTGGGAGCTCACTTCGGACCCCTGGGGAGGGGAAAAGGGGGAAGGGGACAGCCAAATGTCTCATGCACCTCTTCACTTTCAGCTCGCTGAGGGGCAGCGAACGCGATCTGTGTTTCTGGGGCGACGGAGGAGGAGGCAATGCTCGTAGCGTAAGAGCAAACCTTAGCAGCCCAATCGGTGGTAAGAGCAAACCTAAGGTCCGAACTTGTCGCGAATGGGTGTCGCAAGGATTGTTATTGACGGATCAAGCGCGCCGGCTGAGCGTATTGGGATCTGGCCCTGGAAACAGCGCTGCCCCCCAAGCGACCTCCAACTCTTCACCCCCGTCAAGCGGGGGTCGGCGGACTACCACTTGTTCCCAACACCATCCTGTGGTGTTGGGGTCCTCGTTTTGAAGTGACAGCGCCCCGCGTCTCACCTCCTCCCGCTGCCCCCTCCCTCCTTCCCCTCCTCCCTCCTCCCACCCGCCTCGTCATCGTCATCGTCATCGTCATCGTTATCATCCCATCGTCAGCGCCGCGCCCCTCACACGGTTCGTGGCCCCATAGGGAGCTCCACCGAAGGCCCCAGCGGGAGCGTCCGCATGGCACCGCCGCCCCATTTAGGCACACCTCTCACACAGTTCGTGGCCCAGCTCCACCGCAGGCCCCAGCGGGAGCGTCCGCATGGCACGGGCCGCGCACGTGGCTCCGGCGAAACCAGTCAGACTCGCCGCTCGCCCGCGGCAGTTCCCCCCCTCATGCACGCCGCAGTCCTTTTTGCTGCCCCCTTTCTTTCGTCTCCTCTCCCTCGCGGTACTCGCAGCAGCATGTGGTCGGGTCTTTCGTCAGGCCAATTTTTACATGGGCTCCTTTCGCCCGTGAGCTCAAGCCACGTGTTTTCAGAGGGGTCCCTTCAGCCCCGTGAGCGCAAGCCATGTGCTTTTGCATGGGCTCTCTTCGCCCGTGAGCCGAAGTCATGTGCTTTGGCATGGCCCCTGCCCGTTCCGTGGCGCGTCCCCTGGCGCGCTGGCGCGTCTCTTGGCGCGTCCCTGGCGTCGGCCCCCGGCGTGATGCCCCCCTTGGCACGCCCCTCGGCGCGTCCCGAGGCGCGCCCCCCTGGCTCGTCTATTGCCGCGTCCCCTTGGGCGTGCCTTGGGACGTCCCCTGGCATGACGTCCCGTGGCTTGCTCCATGGCGCGCCCCTTGGCACGTCCCGTGGAAGGTCCTTGACACGTGCACGGCACGTCCCCTAGCACGTCCCCTGGCGCATCCCCTAGAGCGCCCCTGGCACATCCCGCGGCGCGTCCGTGCCGTCCCGTCCCGCTTCGGAACCGAGTCGGATCTTGAGCTCGAGCTCATTGAGCGTCCCACACGGTTCGACTGCAACCAGCTCTGGGCCAGCTATGCGTTCAGACAGCTCGAGCTTAAGATCCAGATCAGTTCGGTCAGGATTCGGATGCCAAGGACGATTTGATCCACAGCGCTGTAGAGCACAACGCAATTCCTTGCGGCATGACGCATCTAATTCCAGCACGACACAGCACACCACCCGCCTTGGCACGGTACATCACGATCGATACCTTCAGCATTGCAATTGCCAGTCGCCCAATCAGGAATCTTGAAAACGTTGCCGTGCGTCTCGCTTTTAAATTCCGTTCTCTGGGTTCGTGGGTCGATCATGCCTTGAAAGGCATGGCCGAGCATTTTTTTGTTCCCGCCCCGGGCGGACCCTCTTGGCTCGCTAGCACGTTCGGGTTATTGTACAGGCGCCGTCTGCTTTGTTACCCATCCTCGCGGGTTCCAATGATTTTCAGCCTCTGACGAAGGTGGGACAGCGCAGGCCCGTTCACACGCAGCCCAGAAAGATGATGAGGGGGCGAGGTAGGCGCAGGAGGAGTGAGGGAGGGAGGGATGAGCAGGATGTACAGGAGCCAGCGATGCCACTCCCCCGAGGTATCGAGTTCGTGCGGAACTACCTCTGCCAGGACCGCCCTTCCCCTTTGCCGCGATCCTCTGCTCACGCCGAGCCGGGATCTGTGGCTATCGGCCTCTTCTCCCGCCCGGAGGCCTGCGGGAGGCCCCTTACTCGAAGCTGCCCCAGGTGCACAGCAAGTGAAGGGGCCCTGGGACACACAAAGAAATACACACAAATAAAAGGATTCCCCATATTTTCCTGTATTTTCTGGCTTTTTGTCTTCCCCCCCACTTCCCATATTTTCCCATCTTTTCCTGGGGATCGACGATTAATTGTGTCTGTGTGTTTCTTTCCCTCCTGAGCAAGATCCGAGTTTTTTGATCCGCGGCTCCTCGGTTCCGAGCTGCCGTCGAGCCACGGCAGGGCTGCGGTGGAGCAAGTGAGGCATGGATGCGAGAAGAGGGCGGGCGGGACGGGTCGGCGGTGCGCGCGGGGGGGAAGTGAGAAGGAGAAGGCCTTCTCAGAAGGCTCGGAAGCCCCCAGTCGGGGGAGGACAGAACCCCCAACAGTGACACGTCGATTAGTGAGTTGTCCGTTTTCGGTTTTCGAGAGGGCGCCGTGGCCGTTATTTTCCAGGCTTGCGCCCGCCAGGTTTGGGCCCAAGGGCGTTTTCACTAAACCACGTTTTCCTAAAGGGGGGTCTGTCCATCCCCGACCCAGGCCCTCTGAGAAGTTTTCGGAGCCTTCCCCGGAGGCAAGCAAACAAAACTGCTCAGAAGGCGCGAGGGCGCCTGAGAAGTCCCGCCGCCCTCCGAGGAGGCCTTCTCCCTCTCGCTCCCCCCCCCTCGCTCGCCGCCACATGGGGGGAAGGGGCACGCGGACTGCCGTGGCGCCCCGGGAGCATGCAGGGCCCTTCGGGCTGCCGGAGGCCGGCTCAGGCCCTTGCCGTTTCTTCTCCGCCGCCTCGTTACAGTGCCGTTTTTAAAACATGCTCCGCGTGCGGATCATGCATTAAACATGCAGGGATTTAGTATTAAGAACAACGATGAGTTCATGCATAAGTTTATTCATAGATTAGTCATGTGTTCAAATCCTTTTTTTCCCCACATCCAGAGTGGGGTTCTTGTTTTCCCAGGACACCCTCTCCTTCCCACCTTCCCACCTTCCCACCTTCCCACCTCCCGCTCCCTCTTCCTATTCCTACCGTACCATACTATACCATACCATGCAATACCGCTCCCTCTTCCTACTCCTACCATACCATACTATACCATACCATACAATACCATACCATACCATAGCAGACCACCGTACCTACCATACCACACCTAGGAAACCATACATACACCATCACCGCATACTTACCACACCATACAATACCATACAATACCTACCTACCACGCCCCGCCAGAGCGAGGACAGCATTCGCAAACCATATTATTTATCAGGTTTCGTGCCTCTCCCACCGCTCCAGGGAGGCCCCGCCAGAGCGAGGACAGTATTAGCAAACCATATTATTTATCAGGTTTCGTGCCCCTTACCCCTCGTCAGGGAGGCCCCCAGAGCGGGGACAGTATTCGCAAACCCATATTACTCCAGGGAGGCCCCGCCAGAGCGAGTATCAGGTTTCGTGCCCCCCCACCCCTCCAGGGAGGCCCCGCCTGAGCGAGGCAGCACTCGCAAACCATATTATGTATCAGGTTTCGTGCCCCTCCCACCGCTCCAGGGAGGCCCCGCCTGAGCGAGGACAGTATTCGCAAACCATATTATTTATCAGGTTCGTGCCCCTCCACCGCTCCAGGGAGGCCCCGCCAGAGCGAGGACAGCATTCGCAAACCATATTATTTATCAGGTTTCGTGCCCTCCCACCGCTCCAGGGAGGCCCCGCCTGAGCGAGGACAGTATTCGCAAACCATATTATTTATCAGGTTTCGTGCCCCTCCCACCCCTCCAGGGAGGCCCCGCCAGAGCGAGGACAGTATTCGCAAACCATATTATTCATCAGGTTTCGTGCCCCTCCCACCGCTCCAGGGAGGCCCCGCCTGAGCGAGGACAGTATTCGCAAACCATATTATTTATCAGGTTTCGTCCCCCTCCCACCACTCCAGGGAGGCCCCGCCAGAAGCGAGGGCAGTATTCGCAAACCATATTATTTATCAGGTTTCGTGCCCCTCCCACCGCTCCAGGGAGGCCCCGCCTGAGCGAGGACAGGGATTCGCAAACCATATTATTTATCAGGTTTCGTGCCCCTTCCACCCCACTCCAGGGAGGGCCCCGCCAGCAGAGCGAGGACGAGTCATTCGCAAAACTATTATTTATCAGGTTTCGTGCCCCTCCCAGGCGTGGCCGCTCCAGGGAGGCCCGCCAGAACGAGGAAGGGTAATTTTTGTTTTTTTTTTTCTCGCGAAAACCATATTATGAGTCAGGTTTCCGTGCCATCTCAACCCTCCAGGGAGGCCCCGCCTGAGCGAGGAGGGGCCCCTGCCACCCCTCCAGGGAGGGTATAAGAATACCATACTATTTATCAGGTTCGGCCCCGCTCTTGGGCTGTCGTTCCGATTTGCACTATCTTGGCCGCGTCGTGTACGCGAGGTGTTCCCCAACACATTTGCCTGCACATCGCCATCGCCAATTGCAGTCTTCGTCGCCCCCGTCACCCGGCCATCCTCGTCGACCCCTCCCCCCGCACCTCCGCCTCTTCCTCTTCCTCCTGACCCTAAGCACGCGCCCTATGGGAAAACGCCCATGTGGGAAACTCCTTAGCCATTTTTTTTTTTTTTTTTTTTTTTTTTTTTGTTTTTTTTGAAAATCACATGTATTAAAAATTGCCCTGTACTCGATCCTCGATGTCCGCCTCGACCGCCGCCGAGGGGCCGCGGCCGTCGCCGCGGCGCCACCGCGGGCTGCCGCCCCCCCCGTGGGGGCGGCGCGCCGCCTTCCCGGGAGCAGCAGGGCCGCCCCAGCTTGGCGGCCCCGGAGCCCGCTGCGCCGCTGCGCTCCTCCTCGCGCGTGCCCCGGCTCCCGTGTCGCCTGCCAGCGGAGGTCAGGAGCGGAAAAGAGGGGGGTGATGACTAGGGGGGGGTGGCGGTGGGAGACGTGAGGGGGACCTACGGTCGGGGGGCGTGTCGGGCGGGCGCGCGGGGAGGGGGACATCATGGCGGGGGCCATGATATTTCCCCAGATTTCATGGCGCCCCTTCTTATTTCATTACGTCCCTGGGCCCCCCCCCCTGGGCCGCGCACATGCCGCCGGTCATGATTTGCACCCCCCCCCTCTTGGACACCCCCCTCTTGGCCGCTCCCGAGGAGGGAGCGGCACCGATCATCGCCGCTGCCCTGGGGCCCCTCGTTTTTTCGCTTGCCTGGGCCTCCTGGGAGGCCCCCGTCGCCATCGCCGCGCTCGCCTCGACGCCCTGGCCGGAGCGCGCCCCGGGAGAGAGGCTCCTGGGGAGTGGCGGTAAAAAGCGGTACCTCTTGGTTCCCCCAGCCTCTCTTGCCCTTTTCTCTCGCGCGCGCGCGCGCCCCCCGCCCCCCGCCCCCCAGCCGCTTCGCACGATCCTGGGCTACCCGCGGCTCATCAGCAAGCTCCACCCGTTCGAGAGGCTGAGCATCGAGCTGGCGCGCGCCTGGGACGCTGGGCCGCGTGCCTCTCGGGGCTCTGCCCTGGAGCTGTTTTGTTGGGGCTCGCGCGGCTAGTGTTGAGCATCGCCTCCTCCTCCTCCTCCTCCTCCTCCTCCTCCTCCCCTCTCCTCCTCTCCTCCTCTCCTCCTCTCCTCCCTCCTCCTCCTCCTCTCCTCCTCCTCATCCTCTCCCGCCTCCTCTCACTCCTCCTCCTCCTCCCTTCTCTCCTCCCCTCTCCTCCCTCCTCCTCCTCCTCCACCTCCCCCTCGCCGCCTCCTCCTCCTCCTCCTCCTCCTCCTCCTCCTCCTCCTCCTCCTCCCTCCTCCTCACCTCCTCCGCCTCCTCCTCCTCCTCCTCCCCCTCCCCCTCCCCCTCCTCCTCCTCCTCCTCCTCCTCCCCCTCCCGCAAGAGGCCGCGAGCCAGCACGGAGGAGCGGGGGCCATCGGGTCACAGAGGTGCTGCACCTCGCCAGGCCCCGCCCACTCCGGGGGGCCTTCCGTCAGACCAGACGCCTCGCCGCACAGGCAGGCGGGGTCTCCTGCAGGTGGCTGCACGCTCAAACCTGGCGCTCGGGGCCTCCACGGCCGCAGACTCACCTGCAGGCGGAAGACCGCGCTATCCGGTCGGGAGGGGGTCGGGAGGGAGGAAGGGCGCGGCGGCAGCCGGACGGCGGCCGAATCGGAGAGGAGAGGATGGCCAGCCAGGCAATGCACAACCTGGTGGAAACTCCCAAGCGACAAACAAGTACGAACCTCGATCCGACGCTTCGAATCAAAAAAAGGGGGAGCGCCTGAAGAGATACATCGGATTTATAATAATGCAGGAATTTTAATACATGATTAATATATGAATGCATTTAGGCATGAACTCATCGTTGATTCTAATACCGAATCCCTGCATTTTTAAGACATGATCCGCACGCGGAGCATGTATAAAAAACGGCACTGAACATGCACGGCTTTGACGCCTTTGCTTCTTCTCAGATTGCTTGCACGGCCACGCTTGATCAGTATGTTGGTTGGGTTTCCTGTCGGTCGGCTAGCTGGCGATTCGGCTGATTGGCTGGTTGTCTAAACCGACTGTTGGCAGTTGATTTCGCCTGTTTGCTGGCTGGCTGGTTGCGCGCGTCAGTAATGATTTATTGAAGATGGTGGCCTCGGAAGCGCGCTTCCACAGCATCTTACGAGGGTTGG